ATGCGTCTAACGAAAAAGATTCCACTTGATGCAGTAAGTTGGAATCGAGTGGAACACAATTCCGTAGTCGCTGGTCACGCAATGTGCGAAGGACATACAGTTGATTTCAAAAACCCGAGCATTCTAAAGCGTGGGTTCAGAAGTCACAAGGAACGTTTGGTAGCTGAAGCGCTCCTGATCATCGCTGAACCTACGGCAATCAATCGATCCGATGGGGCAGTCATTCCTCAGTTATGGCAACAATTACCACTTGTGGATACAAAATAGTTTCGTCCCCACCCCAATTGCCAAGTGACCAAATTCACACGTTTTGACCTAAAGGTCAAACCAATTTCACCCGCCCCAAGCACCTGTTGAACGATCACCAACACACACACACACACACACACACACACACACACACATGCACATACACACGCATGTTCGAATCACATTCGAGTGTCTATACGATGTCATCACCTCATCGCCTTATAATTGCTTGTAACGTGAGATTAACCGATTAAACGACTTGAAAAAGGCCTTCCAAGAGGGTCGAAACGTTGTCACCAACGCCTTGTGTTTTGGTTTTCACTCGTCGTGGCTAAGACAAGCTAACTTTTCCTCAATTAAAGCTTCTTGTGTTTCTAGTACTGTATGAAGGAACCACTAAAGATCGAACAGCTCCACCAGTGAGCGCGGTTAAGAGGCATGACTATCAGGATTTTCGACTTAAGGCAATTGTGACTTATTACAACACACAATCGATGAAGCCGACGGAAGCATACACGCATACACGCCGTCGATCTGGAATTTCACTTCGGGCTGTTGTTGGTTTGCCTCTACATGTTTTCTTCCAAAGAAGCGGAGCGTGCCAGGACAGAGCGAATGGAGTATCCAATAGACAGATATTGTTAAATCGCGTCTTAACCATCGTAAACGTAGTGCGAACACGATTTTCGGAGGACTTCTAGAGATTAACACTAAACGCGAGCCAATATATGAAGACAGTGGTTAATAAAACCTTCATAGCATCTTTTGTAAGAACTTGTCGAATTTCAGACTCATACAGTTACACTCCCGGTATTGCAAGGCTGCTTACTCGAACTTTCTGAGCTTATGCCGCCAAGACCTCAGTTTGGAGAAAGCCAGACAGGTCTTCAGGATTGTCCCAAAAACATTCTCGTCTATCCCTCCGCCAGGTGTGATAAAACTGCAAAGAAGTCTCTGATAACCACCATCCCTTCATCAGTCAGGGTGAGA